CAACAACTCAGTCTTCTACCCCTCAAGTCCTAGGCAAGACCACCACAGGACTCCACTGGCCCAAAACATTACGAGTTCCTAATTTGCATTTAAAATTATCGACTGCATAAATAAACTCCAAGATAATTTTGGAGTCACTTCATAAAAGTCTTAGGTCTAGAGGGCTATTAGCTATCATGTATCTAAGTCCTCTCACGTAAGATGAAGAAACTAAGGACCAAAGAGGGCAAATGGCTCACCCAAGGTTATATCACTAGTTAAGAGCAGAAGTGGGAAGAGAACCCAGGTTTCCTGAGCCTTTTGTTATTTGCCTCTCATTTTTAAAAATAACCTTTTCTTTTGTGAATTAAGTAAAATTTATTTGGATAGGGGTTAGAGAACCAGGGTGTAATGGTCTGAATGATGCCCTGCCCCCCACCCCCAGATATCCATGTCCTAATTCCTCTAACCTATGAATAATCCCTTATATGACAAAAGATGTGATTAAAAGATGTGAAAGGAGAAATTTATCCTGGATTATCCAGGTGGACCTTAAATGCTTCACATGTATCCTTATAAGAGAGGCAAGAGTTCTGAGACAGATATACAGGAGATGACAATGAGAAGACAGAGCAGGGAGAGATGAGGTCACAAGCCTAGGAATGCTGACAACGACCAGAAGCTGAAAGAGGCAAGAAAAAGACTCTCCCCTAGGGCCTCCAAAGGGGGCTCAACAACTTGATTGCAGACTTCTGGTCTCCAGAACTGGGAGAGAATAAATTCCTATTGTTTGAAGCCACCAAGTTTGTGGCAATTTGTTACAGCAGCCATGAGAAACTAATACATAGAGGAAATAAAATTCTAAAAATCATAAATTGGACATATATAAAACCAATTACTGACCTAAAAAGAATTGTGCTTCAAGTGACCCAAAGAACGCTCAAAACCTTTATTCTCTCATTCCAAAGAGTAAATTGAGGCAATCACAGGATGCAATTTACCCAAAAATATTGGCAGATCTGAGAAGACAAACTCAGAAAGGTCTAATATTTACATAGCTGCTAACAAGAACAGTGTAGGTTTTTCCCCAAACATGCTAGCTGGTAGAGCTCCTGGACAGACTAAACATAGGCAACAGTTGTCACTGTGGGTGTTCTGCCAACACAAGTGTAAAGTTGTCATCAGAAATGAATATGTGGCTCCGAGTGGCTTACAGAAATCCAACAAATCTGTGTCTTGGACTCCACACAAGCCAGCTCTTCTCAGGATGACCTGGACTCCTTCCCATTAGTACAATGATCAGCTAAAGCCATCCTCCATAAGGAGAGAAGGAAAATCAAAGTTTATGTCAGGCAAAAAAGATAACTGCCCAGAGTCAAAGTTCATGAATAACAATGTGTTAAGGGCAGCCATACTGAGTGAGTTACCAGTGATATCTTGCACTGTAATTTATTACATTTAAAATCAATATCCACAGCACAGAGCTTTAGGCCCAATTTCATGTAAGGTGAATGGAAATAAAAATAGACCAAGTAAAAGAACAAAAAAAGAAACAAATGCTTTACCAGGGGTTGTTAAATGGGCTATTCCAATAAGATATGTAAATCATACTATGTGGTTAAATAAATACCTCAATAAAAAGCAAAACTACTAGTCTTCATCAGAAACCTATGTACCCTGGGTACCTTCCTCTCTTTTCTAGAGCTACTGTCAAAGGCTCTGAAAATCACCAGAACTTTCCTAGACATAAAAATCCAGTCACTTCAGAGGTATGTTCTTTCTTTCTCTTTCCCCAATCATCATCCTGGTCACCTACAACCCAGATAAAAGTTTCCTATTTATTGGTTTTCAGACAGACCAGTGAAGATGTATTATTTTCCCTTTTAGTGAACAATGTCCTTTTTTGGTTTGGTTGCAATATTATGCCTCTAAGTTATAAGCACAAGTGCTCAAAATTTAATTTTTCTAACAAGGACTCAACATTTTGTCTTGTTAACGGAGTGGTACAAGTTAACAACCAAACCTGTCTTCAAAGGCAAGAAATAAAAGTCTAAAGTTAGGATTTTCAATGTGATAATCTCAGAATGTCAATGAAAAATCACCCACTAAAATTTCCCCACCAGAGAGAAATGTTCATCAGACCTATTAGCTATGACACTGCAAGAGAATTCACAATAAAACAATCTTTACTTGTACAGCACAGTAAACCAAGAAGTCTATGTTCAAATCCTGAAATCTTTCAAATTAAAGTATACATTAAAAATATCAAAAAGGGGTCATTGATTAATTTGTTTATAAATCCAAGTTGCTGGGGCTAGAGATGAGAAGAATTGACTCACAGAGACATCTAGATGGCATGATTTGGTTACCTATTCTTCAGATCGCTTGTTTTTCTTTTTTCCCCAAACTGTGGGTCTGTACACAGCTGTGAAATCATTTCAGCAGAAACTGATCTATGTTTTTAAGAAAATGAAATAGTGTCCTATAGATGAGGAAATACCAGAGTGCTTTGCACATTTATATTTATATACATATTTGTATAGTGTATACATTGTTTCAATGTGAGTACAGGTTCAGTATAAAATGTGTATTTCTTGCTGAGGGTCAAGGTCAAAAAAGTTTGAGACACTGATCCAAAAGAATTCCAGTAAAGGAAAGAGACTTAAATCAGGTGAAAACGTAAGAAGCATCAGAAGCAAAGTCTACCTTCTTCAAAAACATATTGGCCATTATTTTAGGAAGCCAAATGAACACAAGATGCAATCATGTTTAAATTGCAAGGAATGGTAAAAATCTTGATGAAATTTTCCTTTTATCCAATGAAACAATTATCACTGTATAGCCGAAGAGATAATCATTAGGATTTAGTGATCCATTAACCATAGGCCACTTCCTAAAAACATAAACACTTCAACCATCTTCTTCCTCTAATTTCTAATTAGTAAAATAAAAGATTTTGATGAGATAACCAACTCTAGTATCTGTCATTTTAGATCAATGGTTTTCAACTGGGGGAGATTTTGCACACACCCCACGCACCCACCCCAGGACATCTGGCAATGTCTGAAGACATTCTGATTGTCATAAATCGGGGTGTGGAGAGGTGAGATGCATTTATCCAGCTCAAAATGTCAATAGTGATGAGGTTGATAAACCTTGTCGTACATCAAGATTGTATTCCTTTCAAACCTAAGAGACAAATAGCCTTAACTTGTGTCTCTTCAGTTCTTATAAGCTAAGCAGCTGCATTATTAGCATACCTACAAATAGTTTATAACCAAATATGAAATAGGTCCTTTGCAAGTGCCAGAGAACGTGGAAATCTCTCCTCTGTTCATTACAAGCTCAACTAAGATCATCTTTCTTTTGTACAATGTCAGAAAACTCTAAGCATAAGTGTACTCCATATGTAGTTGAACTTATTACAGTATTTAAATTTTTCTCCTTTGACCCTAAATAAATCAACGAACAATGGAGCAGTACAGACTCTAATACAGCCAATATGTAATAAAAATTTTTATATTTTATGAAAACATCTTGGAATAAGCAGAATGGACATTACCAACAGGAGATGGACTGCATGTAAAATAAACACTGAAGGAAATACAATCAAAAGGCAATAAATAATCCAGGTGATAAATGAGACCTCCTGTTCCCAACACCCTAAATGTCATCACTCTCCTTAAGCAACTTCCTTCTTATCCAAATTCAGACATCCTCAAAGGAGCAGCAGAAAGAAGGGCTTAGAGAATCTTTAACGATGCAAAGAAAGAGACATAAGGGGGGAAAAGTTCCTCAGAGGCTAAGATAAAGGCAGTGGGGACAAGGAAAATGCTTGTAAAGTGCTGAGCATGAGGCCTAGCAGGTACTAAGCACTCAAAAAAAAGTTACCTTTTTAAATTTATATTTTTATACCGAGAATCACCTAAAGGGAAAAACAGCTCTCTTTCGAGGTGTAAGGAGAAAATGGGTGGCGAGAAGTACGTGATTATGACTGGAAACACAAAAACTGACCTTTTAACTTAACTTTAGTCTCAAATTATTATCCCTGCGAGGATTTAAGCATTATAGATCCCACCTGCCTCGATCCCATTTTATCCCTAGAGGTAACACACTCTGGCATGTAGCTTTCCAAAACTTTTTCTACGGATTTACAAATATCGATTTGTCCGTGGAAATATGCATTATTATGATGCAGAATTTCTTCGGGCGCCTTTCCACGAGAATACATAAAGATTTATCCTCTTCATTTTAACATTTCAAGTCAGTCTTCCTAGAGAAGCGAGTTCCTAAAGTCAAAAAACCTCCCTTGCTCTCCCTAAAACCTATAAAGTGGTGGACGGTGGGATGCACCGATGTGGGGAAAAAATGCCGAAATCGAGACACACGGGAACAAACTTAGAGCTTCCGGACCAGGGAGGTTTGGGGATGGAGGCCCATGGGCTTTGTTAGAGAGAAGTCATTGTGGATGAAATACCCACCCCGACGCGCCATCACGGGCATTGAATCCCCTTCCCACTACCCCAAATCTAAGACCTCCCTCTTCTGGAGCGCTCATTGGACGACCTGCGCGAGCGCCTTCCGGAGGCTGACCGCCTAATGGCTCCAGAACCGGTCCATCCATTTACCCGCCCGACTCCCGCGTTCCCCATTGGAGTCACACGGCGGCCTCTCGTAGGAGCCCAACCTACCGCGCGCTGCGTGCTCATTGGCTCGGAGACACGCTGCTCAGGAGGAGAAAACCCGCCTCCCACATTCCGATGGCCCAAGGACCGCGCAGTCAGCGGCTACAGGCAGACCCAATTGGTCTATACACTCGCCAGTCAAACGCCTCGGATGCAAAGCTCCACAGAACCTATGCGGCTAAAACATCCCGCCCCTCTTCTTCCATTGGCTGGCCGGACCCACCGCTCCCCTTTCACTGGCCCCCACCCTACAGTCCATTCATTTCACACAATAACGGGCCCAACTGGAGTCGGTTCAAGACCTCGTATGGCTAGGCAAGGCTGTCAGCCACTTACCCGGGATGGAGACCGATCACTCACGCTAACGTCTTCCCCGTTCCTCTGTGGTGAGGCCGGACCACAAGCCACTGCTGCCGCCGCCTTCTGCGCAACGCCAACCGCCCGCCAAAACGGATCCTTCCCTGCGCCTGCGCGACCAATCCTGGAACCGGACCCTTTCTCCGCCCATTACGCCTGCGCAAAACGGAGCACAACTCCCGCCACTACGCAGGCGCTGTAGGTCCGCCGCTGTCTCCCGCCCGCCATTTCACGTGTTCCAAGCGCCAGGGGGAACTTCTTAATGCGCCTGCGTAAACTCGCCATTTTACTACACATGCGCTCAGCAGGCGATCTTTGCAAAAGAAAAAAAATTGTCACATGCTAACTACTTTTCCAATACATAGTATTAATCATACATTGCTCCGTGGGTTGACTATAATATCCGGGGCGTGGAAGATTAAAGTTATTTACATAGCTTACGTGTATTAAAATATGAATGATTGATTGGCTAGCCAATCAGTCTGGTTAAGAATAATATTAGTCGGGAACCAATGGCCCCCAAGGGGTGGAGACTGCGTAGAACGCCCAAACGGATGACGTTATACAGCAGTGCGGCACCACAGACCAATAGTAGGGGGAAGCTGTTTCAAATAACCAATCAGAGCTACGCAGGGGCGGAGTCTACCAATGCCGACACCGAGGAGGCGGGATAAAAAAGCGAGGCCGAAGGTAGGCTGGCAGATACGTTTAGTAGGTTACTCCTTTCTGCTTGTGGACGCCGCTGAGGAAGCATCGTTAAGGTCTCCTGTCCCACTGTAGTCATGTCTAAGTCAGAGGTGAGTAAGACGCTCTCTCCAACTTCAATCTCTTCTTCGCCCTCCCCTGAGTTCGGTAGGACGCGGCCTGGTTTGGCTGCTTGTACCAGCCCATTCGGTAGTTCTTCGATCGCTGCCAGGGCCTACTCCTCCCAAAGTTCAGGTCGCCATTTTGTCCTCGTCGTCGCCATGAGGCCGTCGTCTTGCAACCCTTAGCTACCACGCCGGGCTCGTTCTTCCTGGCAAAACTCTTTGGCACATTCGATCTATTTTTCCCCTTGTCTCGGTGGGCGAGTTTCTTGAGGAGCAGCTACCGTCCCGTACTGGCACGTACCGAGCCCTCCGGGTCCTTTTGTTGCGCGTGCGTCGGAGGGAGAGTGGCGACGCATGCGCTCGCGGCTCCCCAGCCCTCCCAGCCCGGAACATAACGCCTCCCCTGATGGGGGGAAGCACGTGGCCTGCTGCGGCCCTAGGGAACAATAAGTGCTCCGTAGGTTGCTGTCTAGTTTTGCTTCTCTCAAGTGGAAGGTGTTTCGCACTATAGCCCAGTTAACGCTTTTTTCCCCTGCTCCTAGTCTCCTAAAGAGCCCGAACAGCTGCGGAAGCTCTTCATCGGAGGTTTGAGCTTTGAAACAACCGACGAGAGTCTCAGGAGCCATTTTGAGCAATGGGGAACGCTCACGGACTGTGTGGTAAGACTTGGAAGAGGCAAAAGGCGATAGAACCAGTTGATTTTCTTGGCTTATCTTGCTATGGTTCCTGTCCGACTGCTTGTGAAGATTGGTGGCAGGATTCGAGTTAGAAACAGCTTGGCAAGGGAAGGTGGGGCTTTGTTAAATAGTTTAAAAGCTCATTTTCAATGGATTTACCCGAGGCGTGTAGTGGGAAACTGAAGAGCTTTGCATAGAGCCTCCTATTAACGTTACTCAAGCTAGAAATGATTGTAGGTTTTGGAGTCTTACTATGTATTAAATCAATTGACATCTCAGGTAATGCGAGATCCCAACACCAAGCGCTCCAGAGGCTTTGGCTTTGTCACGTACGCCACTGTGGAGGAGGTGGATGCAGCCATGAACGCAAGGCCGCACAAGGTGGATGGGAGAGTTGTGGAACCAAAGAGGGCAGTCTCAAGAGAGGTAAGTGATATTTTTTTCCTTCCATTAGTCATTTAGAAGTGTGCCACTAGGTAGACGTCACATTTGTGGGTGTTACAGGGTTTTTAGTATTCTTGATTTTGGGCTAGATTTCGCCAAAATAAACAACTTAATGGGGTTTTTCATGTTAGGATTCTCAAAGACCTGGTGCCCACTTAACTGTGAAAAAGATATTTGTTGGTGGCATTAAAGAAGACACTGAAGAACATCATCTAAGAGATTATTTTGAACAGTATGGGAAAATTGAAGTGATTGAAATCATGACTGACAGAGGCAGTGGCAAGAAGAGAGGCTTTGCTTTTGTAACTTTTGATGACCATGACTCTGTAGACAAGATTGTCAGTAAGTATCAGACGATGGGCACTTGCTAAGGGTTCTGAAGTCCATGTTGTATTCCAAACGGTGAGATCATGTTCTCTTTATCTTTGACATTTTTTTAGTTCAGAAATACCATACTGTGAATGGCCACAACTGTGAAGTACGGAAAGCCCTATCTAAGCAGGAGATGGCTAGTGCTTCATCCAGCCAAAGAGGTGGGTTTTTTGCTTAATTAAACCTTAAAGATCACTTTGGATAATTCCAACCTGCGTGGTTTAACACTTAAAACTTCTCTCTCAAGGTCGAAGTGGTTCTGGAAACTTTGGTGGTGGTCGTGGAGGTGGTTTTGGTGGGAATGACAACTTTGGTCGTGGAGGAAACTTCAGTGGTCGAGGTATGTGTGGTTAATGGTTTACTACTAAGAATTAATAGTAAGCTTGTGATTTAATTACCCCCAGGTAACTTGTCCTTTTTGCAACCTGTGGTAGATGTAACTACTAGCCCACGTTTTCAAAGTTACAGTTTATCCAAATGTAGTTCTGGCTTCGTAACAAGAAGTTAAAATTTTTGGTATGGAAATTTAAGACTTAGAAGAGTGTGATTTGTATGCAATCCGTAAACTTCAAACCTGGTTTAAAACACTGCTTTATTCCAGGTGGCTTTGGCGGCAGCCGTGGTGGTGGTGGATATGGTGGCAGTGGGGATGGCTATAATGGATTTGGTAATGATGGTAAGTTTTCTCAAGGAATACACAGGGGGTAAATATTTTGACAACCTTTAGAATAGGTTAGTAGAGACTAAAATTTTAGTGCATGACAAGCTCAGCTCTGACCATAACAGCATGCTGTGAGCAGGCTTTTAGCCATTACGCTTGCACAGGTTTTGATTGTTGAATACTTTTGTCTTATTGAGAAGAATTGTATTCTTGTAGGTGGTTATGGAGGAGGCGGCCCTGGTTACTCTGGAGGAAGCAGAGGCTATGGAAGTGGTGGACAGGGTTATGGAAACCAGGGCAGTGGCTATGGCGGGAGTGGCAGCTATGACAGCTATAACAACGGAGGAGGCGGAGGCGGCTTTGGCGGTGGTAGTGGTAGGTATCGAGTGATCCAAGTACTTGGTGCAGTAGCTAGATTAGCCTCTTGGAGTTGATGCTCATGTGGGGATTTGGTGCTCTTAAAGCATTAATGTGGTGCGCTGCATGGTATTCTTTTTTAATGGGCTTGCTAATGCTACCTCCTCCTAGCTTTAAGCTGGGGCCGCCTCACTCCCAAATAGATGGGTAAGTGGATAGTGGTGTCTTGAATTGGAATTAGATTAGCTTCTAGCAGGATTTAGTTAGTATCTTAATTCCTTTGGGACCTTAGGCACTTAGTTGATGTATCCAGCCTGCGTTTGCAATGTCCCTGAACGGGTAAAGGCCTTCATGGCTAGAGAAGATGCTCTGTGTTATGCCATGGTGAGTTGGGTAAATTTTTAAACTACTGGATTATTCAACTGAATGCCTTGCCCAGAAAGGATGAAATACAGAGATAATCATTGGACCCACCAGAGTTTGGGAGGAAGGCAGGCAGATCATGCAACTTTTTTCACTCTGAACAATGAATAGAAGTCAGAACTATCAGCTACCCCAAGTAACAGATAAAGACCCTCTTTCCATTCCTAGGAAGCAATTTTGGAGGTAGCGGAGGCTACAATGATTTTGGCAATTACAACAATCAATCTTCAAATTTTGGACCCATGAAAGGAGGAAATTTTGGAGGCAGAAGCTCTGGCCCCTATGGTGGTGGAGGCCAATACTTTGCCAAACCACGAAACCAAGGTATAGTATATATGTAGTACTGATAAAGGAGTGCGTTAAATCTTTAGGTGATGTATGTGTAGACAGTAAAAACCTAACAATTTAAAACCTTATAAAACTTAAGTGACTGGTAACTTGCAGTCAAGTTGGAAAAATCATATGAGCTCAGACTCCTGAATTCTAGTTTTTTATTGCCCCAAATATGAAAGCATTACTATTACTATTAACAAATTTCATTATTAGGTGGCTATGGCGGTTCCAGCAGCAGCAGTAGCTATGGCAGTGGCAGAAGGTTTTAATTACTGCCAGGTAAGTAAGCACCTTTTTGTTTTGACTTAATTTTTATAATTTAATGAACCCAGTAACCCTAATGTAGCTGAGCAGTGCAACGTAGTTAACGTTAATTGCAGTAAAATTGTGGATCTTAAGTTAATGTTCAGATCAGCAAAATTTGTGGGAAACAAAACTTGATATTGGATTGTAGCTTTGAGTCTTAATATGTTTAGATTAACAACTTTATTCCATATTGTTCAACAGGAAACAAAGCTTAGCAGGAGAGGAGAGCCAGAGAAGTGACAGGGAAGCTACAGGTTACAACAGATTTGTGAACTCAGCCAAGCACAGTGGTGGCAGGGCCTAGCTGCTACAAAGAAGACATGTTTTAGACAATACTCATGTGTATGGGCAAAAAACTCGAGGACTGTATTTGTGACTAATTGTATAACAGGTTATTTTAGTTTCTGTTCTGTGGAAAGTGTAAAGCATTCCAACAAAGGGTTTTAATGTAGATTTTTTTTTTTTTTTTTTTTTGCACCCATGCTGTTGATTGCTAAATGTAATAGTCTGATCATGACGCTGAATAAATGTGTCTTTTTTTAAATGTGCTGTGTAAAGTTAGTCTACTCTGAAGCCATCTTGGTAAACTACCCCAACAGTGTGAAGTTAGAATTCCTTCAGGGTGATGCCAGGTTCCATTCGAAATTTATTTATAACCTGCTTGGGCACAGAAGCCATTGTCTTCAGAAACCTTGGTGTAGTTGAACTGACAGTTACTGTGTTGTGACCTGGAGTTCACTGTTAAAAGGGTCACCCAAGCAAAGTCGTGGAGTTTATTTGGTTATTAATATGATTGTTGGCACATCCTATGCAATATATCTAAATTGAATTATGGTATCCGATAAAATTATAGATGGGAATGAAGCTTGTGTATCATCCATTATCATGTGTAATCAATAAACGATTTAATATCCTCTTGAATGGAATGACAACTGTATGGATTTGGGACTGGCAGAGCTTTGGACTTTCCCTGCCCACTACCCCTGATCATGTTGACTGCTTCTATCACAATTCAAGTTCAAAACTCTGCCAGAGAATAGAAACCAGCTGCTGGCTAATGCCACCCCATCAGTCCACAGATTAGAAGTGTTTGGGAGACCTTTTTAAACTGACCAGCACCAGTAAGAATATCTTATTCTTAACACTAAAACAGGCTTACATTAAAGGAAAACTGCAGTTTTACTTTGTGGTTGGGTGGGTCTTGATAGAGGTTTATAAATTAACCACAGTAGTTAGCTATTTGGAGATTAAAATTATGGAGATGGTGAGGAACCATATTATGTACTTAACATTGATGCTAACTGCAGTTTTCCTTTAAATATGACATAAGATCACACAACCATCCAAAATGTTAATTGTATAGAAAATGATTTCTAAACCTTTACAGTTACATAATATCCAATCATTGTTATTTGTATATAGGTCCTTTTGAGCCCTCCCTTTGGTACCCTCAATTTCAGTAACAATGTACCTAGCAGCATAGAGATTGTTTATCACTAGGACTGTGTATTCCATCCCATGGGTGTGTTACTTGGAAGTTTGGGGAGGAGGGTGGGTGGAGGTGGGTGGGAGGCGGAGGTGGGTGGGGAAGCATGGATGATAGTGCCATGGGTTTGATATTGGCTGAGTTTGCAATGGCAGGTGGAACCTTAACTATTGAGGGAGTTTGCAGATACCTCAGGATTCGTGACAATGCCTTTAAAGATCCAGGAGAGATGTTCAGCTACTAGGAACTGCTAGCAAGTATAGCGCGAATGGCTCCGAGCTCAGACACTCTGCAGCTGAGAGTAGACACTTGTGGTATGTGGAGTACAGATAAGCCAGGGGCAGGCCACGCACGCTCCATGAAAGCTAGGAGGGAGTGAAGTTTCAGTGACCATCGCAAGGAAGGAGGCAGACGAGAGTAAGGCACACCTGACTCTTAGGACTAGCAGTCAGAACCAGGAGGAAAGGTTTTATTGCTATGCTGGTAGGTAAGAACAGATTTTACTTACATCCATATAGCTATCTAAAATCCAGTTTTCTGTTATATTTTCCTTAATATGTTGAGCCAAAACTAGTCCAGTTAAGCTGAACTTGGTTTTTCTGGAGATGAATTGTTTTAAATTGACACCCTAGTCTTGGTGGCTCCCAATAGAAGGAAGTGAGCATTTTAATTATTTCTACTGTGATAATCCTTTTTGCCCTTTAATTTTGATTTATTTCCTACCTTCCTTTGACCCATTTCCTTAAATCAATGGCTCACAGTAATGCATTAGAATCTTCCCCAAAGTGGTGGTGGGAGGGTGGGTGGACCATTAGTGGGGGTGGGAGGTTTAGCCTGAGATGGGACTTGGTCTCAGAGAAAAGCTGGTACTAAAGGTTGTTTACTTTTCTAGGGAGGAGTCTGCCACTACAGGCTTATCAACTGTCTTAAAAAAAAAACAGAAACTCATCTGTCCAAGTTCATGGCTAAAAGGTAAGTTTTTGTAAAGTAATGGTCAGCAAGAGTGATTGGTATTACCAAAATAAAGAGAAGAACAAACTGCCTCAGAACCAAAAAAAAAACGGGGGGAGATCTCATAATCTGGTCTTAATGGAAGCTGTAGCCAACAAAAACAGTTATTAAAGCAACTGGGTTCCCAGTGAAGAGAATGGATGTAATGGATGTAATCATAGAATCTTTCACTTGCTTGTGTACCTTGTAACCTTTTTTTTGTTTTTGCAGGAACATCCTTATGAGGACAACCTTTATCTGAGCCACTGTGCACTTTATTTTCACTGCCATGCAGTTGTCATTAGCTGCTCTGCAGCTTGAATCAATCATTCAATTTTGTGAATGGGCTTTTTAAATAAAATGCTTTTAACTTGGTTGTTTCTTGTTTTCTTTGTGCTGTTCATGGTATTGATGGTAAATAACTTGAACTGTTTTTTGCCATTTCAAGTTTGAGAATGGGAAATATAAGAGTTAATGACATACCAGATGTCTAGTAAACCAGAAGAATTTTTAAGAGTCAAAATTTCCTCCCCTTCATTCCTTAACCAGTGCTTCCTTGGATCCTTTTAAATCTAAAGGAGCAAGGCCTTACGTAAGTATGTAGTCAGTGCATCTTGAAGCCCACAGTTTAAAGAAAAGTGGAACAATATAAATGCTTTAAACAAAACCATAATTCAAAATAGGAAGGATGGGGTGGTTGGAACTGGTTCTTAATACTGTGTATTACTACATTAATTGATCCTATCAGCATCATGGTTTAGTGAAATCAGAAACTAGCTCTCACTGTGGGAGTAAATCTTGACCCAGGTAGAAGTAACCTGGTTATAACTGTACCAGTTGACGGTGGCCTTTTTCTAGCTTCCCTGGCAAGGGAAAATCTAGTAAAAGCCAACAGCTGCCTTGAGCTCGGTTGAATCTTTGCTAGGAGAAGAGCTTATCTATGCTTACCTGTTAGGTTCTGGAGGGGCATAGTGGATCTCTGGCAAACAAGTACTTAATTGGCCAGCTATCTCAGCCTTCAAAAAACGAGCCAGGGATAAGATGAACTGAATATGGAAGAGAAGCAAGTCTTAGCTTCTCAAAGGTAATAAGCCTAAAAATTTGTTGAGAAGCAATAATTTAAACCTTTAGCAAATGCTCACATTTTCCCCTACCATCATGAAAAGTTCATCTGGCTTTAATTTTCAGTCTAGCAAAAGGGTGAGTGAGGTCTGTGAATCCATAGGTCAGTCAGCTTACTGCCATGGTTCTGATTAAGAATCTCCTTCACTTGTGACTTGAAATTACTAGTTTCTGTTTAACATAATCATGGTTTGGAGGGGTAGGAAAATAGGCTACCTGAGTTTGCTAAAAGCATTTCCATTGAAGGAAAACTGTTATCCTGTGTACTTGTTACATGCTTTACAAGATTGCTAGTAAATTCTATGTATCTTACATGAGGAAACAGACTCAAGGAAGATAATTACCTTGTTAAGTTCTTGCAACTTCGGGATCACATAATCCAGGTTGCTCTTTCTAAAACCATATTCCACCTTTGGCTTTAGGTAGGCACGTACCAAACAAGGTGTGTGTGTATGATGGTCTTCCCCACTACAGTGTATCTCCATGAGAGCAGGGCGTTGTCTCTCCTGTTCACTCTATCTTCAGTGCCTAGATCAGTACCTAAAACTTAGGTGCTCAGTAAATATTTGTTGAATAAACGAACGTCTAAATTTGCCTCTGAATTACCACCTTTGTGAACTTGGTTAGAATGAAAAAATCCTCCAGTGTCTGATGTCCGTTAGGTAAACTAATCAAGTTTCTGAACAGCTAACCCCAGGCCCTGAACTTTACAATTTGACCCCACATTTTCAGTTTTTTGAGAAAACAAAGCTCACAAGTTATCTGGACTGTTTTCAGATCTGTTAGAATAGGAAGCTTTAAGTTGCTTTTATTCCCTAAACCTAGGTTAGAGATGGTTTTTAGAATCAAGGCATGAGGATTCCATGCCTTGGAATCTTTGATCACTTGTGTCTGCTTTTATGTCTCTCAACTGTGGTGTCTATCAGAACTTGGAAGTAAGATTTCCCTGTTGGAATGAAACAAGTAAAATAGAATAGAAGTGTAAATAGAAGTAAAATACCCCAAAGAGGTAATTTGCGTAATTCAGTGACTGGGAAGGTTGAGAACCTCACAACTCCAAGCAAGATGCAAGTATAGTGTCAGGTTTCATTGGACTTTGATTGATGTGAAGGATTCTGAAACTTAATCATGTTATGTTTCAAGAAAAAATATATATACTAATAAAAGGTCCTAGATCCTCAAGGATCTAGAAAAGGAAAGCCCCAAAACATGAATTGGGTAGTGTCTGTCTTAATATAACCAGAGAGAGAAAATTTTACTGAAACGCATAGTGTACTCCACTGTGGAGCAGGTTTTACCCAGACCTGGGTGTGAAATCCCCTGAAACTTAGGTGTCCAATCAAATTCTCTCATTCCAATCAAGAGCAGCTCATTCAGTCTTCTGAGAGAACTCTGCCACATCAGGACCCAAGCTAAGGGAGTCCTATAGAAGTAGGCAGGAGGAGAACAGAAAAAAAAGCCCGTGGGCATTCTCGGCTTCTCTGTGCTCCAAAGATTGAGAAAGGAGAGGCCTAGACCTCAGGGACTTGGCACAGAGGGTCTAGACAGCTTTGGTAGCAATCCCAGCTCTATAAATAGGGGGCCACCAGGGAAGGTGGGGTTTCTCAGATCATCCATAGCCTCTGGCTCTGAAAAGGAGGATGAAGATGGTAGACCACACTGCTCCAGCCCAGGTGTCGTGTGTACCTCTCTTACACAGAGCTGCAGGGGAGAGAAATGAGCTTGGCAGGATTCCCTCCCCACCACCAACAAGTAGTGAGTTCTGAGGGGTGCTCAGCTTCATCACCCTCCCTTGAGAAGGAAGACACAGTGGAAGGCTATTTCTGTAGAGTGCTTTATATACCAAAGCTCAAACAAGAGGTGGAGGTTGGAGACCTGGGAAGCCGAATCAAGGAAGAGAGATTCCAGCCCTCCCCTCACATACTTGCCTCAAGGCAAGCTTCACTGAACACACCTTGGACCTTTCAAATGCCACGTTTCCCATTGTTCCTTCTGGTCTAGAGAACTCGGCTCCTGGGCCTCAGGGTTGGGGAGTACCTTCACTAGAAGGGAATGAAGGAAATCTCCATCACCAGTCCCACCCTTTTGGGCCAGCTCAGTCTGTGGCCTCCACCTTGGTCCCCCGGGGCACCAGGAAGATGGCCCCATCAGCAGCCTGTTGCAGCACATACTCTTCAGGGGAGTAGTTGTTGCCCGCTTCATCCCGCAGGTGCTGGAAAATGTCCCGGTAGAGCTCCGTCAGCTGTTGGCGCATAACCTCCAGGGTCCGGTCGGCCTCCCCTCGGGCCCGGAGAAGCCGCTCCCGCTCACTGC